TGAATGGAAAGCACCTTTTTTGACATTAGTAATCGAAAGAGTGGAAAATATTACGTTTAAAATCGTTGAGGTTAAAAATTTCTCGTTTACCTCGAAGGTCATTCAATTCTGAGTCCTCTTAAAAAAACTCGATTGATGAATATAGACCAAAGCTTGCTTTAGTTGTTTTGTTTGATCGTAATTAGCGGTGACATCAAATTCGACCTTGTTTGTATACTGCAAGGTCATTTCAAGGTCAAGGTTTTTTTTCTGATGTCCTTCTCATCTGATAATTGCAATTGAAAAATCAGGAGTTCCCATACTTTTATTTTTAGCGTCACCCAGGAACAACGACTGGTTATTGCCCTTTCAAGCTGCTCTGGTATGCTCGTCAAAAAATTTTCCAATGCAATAGTTTACAATTCAAAATAATAATTTACTTGTTTCTGAATTTTCATATTCTGATTAGTTTATGAATACGGTTTACTGCAAAAAATAGTGCAATGGACAAACTAACTGATAGGGAAAGCTTCTCATGATGAGAGTTTGGGATCTAGTGCCGCGATCTTATAGGGCTGTGACAGATCTTTTCAATGCAACATTTAGGGCTGATAGAACTTTAACTTTATTTTCAACAGTTCAAAAAACTGTCAGAAGGTTTGACAATACCGGCACTGTTAGTGATCTACCTAGATCAAGCAGACCAAGGTCAGTAAGTGGTGAAGAGAAATCATTAGATTTTTTATTAACATTCACTACCGATGCACATACTTCCATTCGTAGAGCCGGTCAAGAACACGAAATAAGTTAATCATCTGTTCATAAAATACTACAGAAAGCGAATTTTCATCCATTTAAAGTAACGCAGATACACAAGCTGAACAAAGATGATTTCGATGGTCGCGTTGAATTTTGTAAAGATATGACTGTTCGCATAGTTCAAAATCCTAACTATCTATCTAATATAGTATTTTTAAATAAAGTTGTATTTCAACTTAACGCAAGTTTGAATAGATATAATTGTAGATATTGTGCATTTGAAAATCCTAATTAGGTGAAAAAAGGCAAATCACAATATCCAGAAAAATTTAATGTCTGGGTTGGAATACTAAATAATCGAATTATAGGGCAATTTTTTATTGATGGTAACTTGAATGCGCAAAACTATGAGGCTATGCTGCGGAATCAAATAGTTCCTGCAATAAGAGGAATAACTGGAATAAACTTCAATCACACATTATATCAACAGGATGGCGCAGCGGCTCATTATACACGAACTGTTCGCGCTTACTTAGATGCAGTATTTATTAATCGATGGATAGGACGAAGAGGCACCATTGAATGGTCAGCTAGGTCACCTGATTTAACGCCTGTTGACTACTTCTTTTAGGGATATTAGAAAGATCGAGTATATAAAATAAAACCCTAAAATTTGGATGAATTACGGCAAAGGAACGTTGATGGATCAGCTCTTATTACCGCTGAAATCATCAGAAATGCTGTTGATACATTTTACCATCGATTATGATACTGACAAAAAGTAAATGGAGAGCAATTCGAGCATCTGCGATAAATAGAGCAAGAAAATATTTATTGAATCACGTGAGAGGCAAGGAGACTCACGATAATAAAGCACCCCAAAGGGATCAGAAATTACTACCTCCACGCCGTTGTTCCTGGGTAACGCTAAAAGTAAAAGTATGGGAACTTCTGCTCTTGCAATTGCCGATATCAAAAGAGGAAGACATTAGAAAAAAACTTTGACCTTGAAATGACCTTGCAGGATACAAACAAGGTCGAGTTTGATGTCACCGCTAATTGCGATCAAACGAACCAACTAAAGCAAGCTTTGATCTATTTCCATCAATTGAGTTCTTTTGACAATGAGAGGCCTCAGAATTGAATGACCTTTGAGTGACCTTGAAGGTTAACGGGAAATTTTTTACCTCAATGGTTTCAAACGTAATATTTCCCACTCTTTCGATTACTGATGTCAAAAAAGGTGCTTTCCATTTAAAACAATTGAGCTGACCTTGAAAAAAACCGTCGATGTCATCTTCAACGTCAAATCCAAAGTCACCGTTTATTTCCTTGTTGAAAATTACTTCAAAAGTGACCTTGACATATTTTAAAAATAAATCACCTGGAAAGTTATTTGGATGTTTCCAGACTTTTTGGACACCCTGTATATGTTATTTACATCGTGAACGATATGATTATAGAAAACTATGTTTTTAGAACTTATTTCACAATTTTTATCGTGTTCTTCAAACTTTTTAATGACGATTTTTCAACGCAGAACTACATGATAAAAACTGAAAGTTTCGTTTTTAAGTCACGAGTATCAACGTAAATGCATATTTATTTAACAATAAACAATATTGTTTACTAGATTTGATATTAGATCAAAGGAATATTTAATGCATATTAAATGTTTGAATTTTCAATTTCGTCAATAACAGTTTTTATCTCTATTTGTGCATTAAATTGAATGCGGAAAAAAGAAAAAAAAATATGAGCGCGCACTAGACATCCACTAATTTTACTAAATTACTGAATACTTTACATAAATGGCTTTTTAATATTCGTTTAACAATGCAAAACAGTATATTAAATATTATTTTAAGAAAGAATAAGGTTAAATTCCGAAATTTGAAAAAAATATATTCAAAATGTTATCTTCATTATAGAAATGTTTAATATATCGTGTAATAATAACAATAGTTAACATACATTTCTTATAATATGTGAAGAATTGATTCATCATTTACAATTATACAACTCAGCCTAACTTGGTCTAACATTAATTTCCACTAGGAAAGTGATTGCTGTAAAAGAAGGTAACCTAGGTTACAACTTTATTTGAACATTATTATATTTGAACTTGATGTATTTAGAATCACGGTGGCTTAGTGGGTAAGAGATCAGGCTTCTGTATAAAAACTCATGGGTTTGACCCCCTGGCATGTGAAAGTTTTCAGAAATGAAATGTTCATATATTTGTTACCATGATTCCGTGTTTCGGATCGGACCTTATACTGTAAGTTCTGTCGTGTAAAGCTTTCTCCTGCACAATTAAAAAAAATTATGGGAGAGGTGGGCTTACATACTCATGACTATAAGGAACCAAAACTATTGCATACAGGTGCCTAGTGTACCAAAATTGAAGCCTAATGCATAGCATTTCAGTTCGAGCTATAGCGCCGCCGTCGGTCGAAACCATGAATTACAAAGCAGCTTCAATTTTGAAATAGTAACTTTTTAGGATTTCACCTCATGTGTTTTATTTTTTATGACAGTGAAAATTTATACGTGTATTTACTACAATTTGAATTTTATAGTTAAAAAATGTCAGAAATAAGTCGTTGTTTATTCTTCTTGTGTCAAAAAATATATGAAGTACTCTGGAAAAATTTGATAATTATGTTCATCAAAAGTATACGATTCTTATTCCTTTTCTTTACGCGGGTTTTTTAAGGATTTTGGTTTACAACTAAATAGTGTGGCTATACTGACAAAAACATACTCGTACTCTTCATTTTAGCGGCTTTAAATATATAGAAATTGACGTGAGCGCGAAGAAATTTCTGATATATTGCCGGATATAAACATTGTATGCAAGTTATTTGCCGTTTTCCGGTGATTTTCCAAGTTTTTCACCGATATTGGCCTATAACTTTAATATTCCGCTTAGCTATCAGGAAATTAATGATACCATTCGATTTGGCAGCTCAAAATACATGGAAATATGTATTTCTAAAAATATAACTGACTGGTTACAAACATTACAAGCCAGTTAATTGTCTTTTTTTCACTGATTTTTCCATTTTTTTGACAATTTTCGCTTATAAAATTTTTTAATCGCATTTTAGACAAAAACTAATAGTACCATTCGATTTGGCGACTCAAAATACAAGATCAAGAAAAATCGTATATTTTTTTATGATCAATTTCAGGTCTTCTATAGACAAGAAAAGGGATATCATAAAGATGCGTAATGAAGAGTATTTATTTTCTCGTGTTCCTAATACTATATATAGTACGATAAATTTTGAACCAAAAGTATCTAATCAATGTGAAATTTTTCAAAACCATGCTAATTTCATGTACGTATATCAACTATATATTAAAAAATATTAAGAATTCAATTGTTTATATATATATATATATATATATATATATATATATATATATAATTGTTAGTAAAAACAGCAAAAGTATCTGAAAAAATATAGAAATATTATAAGGTACAGACTAATAGGTTTGAATCTATTACTAAGAAGTTGAAATAATATTTGAATTATATATGAACAAAGATAATACATAATTTACATCATCAGCCATTCAATAATTATTATGATAAACAAATTATGATGAAAACGGGAAAAAGAAAACTTGAATCATTTCCAATTATTTGACTGACTTTAAAGTTGAATCAAAATTAAATTATGTTGTTAACAAATACAACGTATAGTTATAACATTATATCTAAATTTATCATATCTTTCATTGTATATTGAACAAATATAATAATTTCAGCAATATCTTTAATTGGCTTAGAAAACTATTAATTCAGAAAGGATAAAGTTCGTTGCAAAGTCACCCATTCTAGCTCTAATCGACTGACTAATTATAAATAAAGCTAAAAGTAGAAAATTAAAGAAAAATTATATTAAAATATAGATCTCAATTACAATTTAATCGGTTTTAAAATAAATTTTATTAAACTCACACGTAACGTACTCTTTTCCTATCTCATTTATACATATACGTATAAAAAATTATTATTATGTTTTTTGTAGCTCATAAAAACTACCTACCTATTAAATACAATTTTTCATATAGATTTAGAACGCATGAGTTTACTATAAGGAACGCTAGTCGAATAAAAACTATGAATCAACAATTCAAATAAATTAATATTTTGTAAGTGTGTCAAATTTATTTAGCTACTAATAAAAATATATATAAGTTATTAAATAATAATTTTCGCACAAGATACGTTAAATCATCAGTCTCACCTTGATAATATTTTTGATACGCAGCCATGGGATACCCTTAGTTGTCTGGAGATATCGCAGGGACGGACGCCACTGTGCGCAAGCTCGACGATCCTTTGCCTCACGACATCGGGCAACGGCCGCCCGTTTACGAAGACGCCACCGAGCTGATTTACTCCCCCGTGGCCTGCAACAATACGTGTACTGTTCAACTTATGTCTACTTAATTTATTATATATTACAGCTATACACACGGTTGAACTCTACAAACAAATGATAATGACTCTAAAATTCATGTAAACTAGATTTAAAAATCTTGAGGTTGTAAATAAAATATATTATGAGCCTTGCTTTTGTGTACCATTGAATCTCTTTAATCAAAAAAGAATAAACAAATTTTCAGAACACTGTTGAATTATTTTTTCGCCATAGCAAATTTATAATTAACTATACATTGAAGGATACACTCATATTCTTATAATATTATTATGATACTCAAGTATTATATTATATACTTGAATTACGTGTTAATAATTTTGATTTACAAAATATCAACTGATATTCTCTTAATACTTATAAATATGTAAGAAGGAATTAAAAAGAATATTCTATTGAACGAAGTTTTGGCATGATCCGATTTACTTACATCTTTTGCTCATTATTGCTCTAAAAATAATCTAATTTATATAACGGATCAGTATACAATTAAATTCTACAATAAAGATATAATTGATTACTTGCTCATAACATCACGCAAGTATAAATTTGTCACGATTTTAATCTCAAAACCGTAAATACCTTATTATTTTACGTCTTTTCTTGGAACAAAATATTATACCTTCATTGTATATAAGAGATCTTTCTTCTAGAACATTTTCGTACTCAGCACAAAATGTACAATTTATTTTGGTTTGTGTAGACTAAATCATTAATTGTATTACTCCGTTATGTAAGCATTAAGTTAGAAACACTACTTCCACGCAAAAGCATCATGTTACTAAAAATAAAACCATTTAATTATCTTAAAATCTGTCATATTCATAAGAACTGCACTTTACGCAGATCTTGCACAGGAATATGACGCATCATTTTGGCATATTTTAACTTGTGTGATTAGTGTAAATCATGCTTCCATTATGTGCAATATGTTTATACTGAAGAATAAATCAAGAGGCCAATTTCATTCTGATTCATGTAGACTCTTATTATTGCTTGGCATTTTTTATCATAGATTTGATTTAATTTTTTTATTATGAAAAAATAATCTAGGCACAGTTAAAGAAATAAATGATTCAACATTTTTCTTAAAAATCATTTTCTTCGATTCTACAATCCACCCAGCATTAGCTTTGAACGTAATATTTTAAAACTATAAAATCGATATTAATTTCCAAACTGATCTAACTTTACGATTTTTCTATGACTGCTGACTACGCGAATGAAAAGACAATGAACCGGATCACACTATACGAAAATTCCGTACATAAACATGACAAGAAAGCAATAGAAATATTAATTAAAATAACTAAATCAAAAGATAATTTAAATGATTATCGTGCTGACATAACAAAAGAAATAAAATGAGAAAGTTACATCCGTTAGGCAAGTAATTCAGTCCAAATAAGGAAGGAAGAAAAAAATTGGAACACACATATATAGTCTAAGAGCTACGAATAATCCTGGATCTGTAATCCGTTCTTCATGAAGTCATATTTTCAAAAAAGCCATATATACCGACTGTATCCAATGCAGTGGTAGTTAATTTATGACAATGGATTTCTTACATGAAATGTAAATTACGTAAGAAATGTAAACTGTGCAATATATGATATGTAAGTAGTTGTTTGATAAGCCTTTTCTACCCTGATAAAGTTTATACAAACACTTTCTATAGTTCTATGTATACTTTCTAGTTAATTATTTTTAAATTGCGGTGCCGTCACATTTAAAAATAAGAATTTTCAATTTTTGAGAATAAAGATTTATTGCTGATGAAAGGTAATTTATGATAATTAATAATGTATAAAAAGTCTTCGATTAATTTATTAAAATTAATTTAATTAATAAACCATTATCATACGTAACTGCATATATTCTAAAATGTGAATAATTTAATGAATATTGATTATTTTCATGCAAACTGATCAAGATAAAAAAATCAGATTAAGAATGCTTTAACTGACAAGTTTTTAGATGCAATTATTCTTTGGTGGCAATTCAATCGTTTTATTTTCAAAAGCAGGTTCGTTTACTCATCCACAGTACGTTATTTCATCCAAATATATATTTAGAAATGGTTTGTTAAATGTATATTTAACACATACGTGCAGAAAAGAGAGGCTGAGTTATCATTAGATGGATTTAAAAATAAATTTGGTAACAAAAATTTATTGTTACACATAACTGACGGAAGACATGCTTTTGTAAGAGCATGGGATGTTAGCATTATTAATTAATATTTAGCAGTTTGTGTGTGTATTATTTACGAAAAATAGCGCGTGCGTCAGTCGCTCTATTTCTTACGCGATCGGTGTGTTACACGACACATTCAATTATTATAGTCTTGTTGCTAGTTGGTTGTCTCAATTAAAGCTTATGCTAAAACCAATTTGTGTTTTTGTGTCACATCGACGCTTATGTTAATCCATCAATGAAACTAGAGTATCTTTACAAGATATAGTTGAACAAAGTATTGCATGAGCATGAGAAAAATATAATAAGAATATTTACATTGTGATAATAAATAACGCTTGTATATAATGTTAATAGAACGATTAATTAATATATAGTAAACAACTTGTAATAGCCATGGTGGTAATTTATTTTGCATGACAGACATCGAATTAGTTATTATAAATAAAAGCAATATTGATAGAATTTAAATCAACAGATTTAGAAAACTAAGTTATTCAACTTAGGGGTAATCTTATTAGCTATAACAAGGTTCCCTACACTGAGAAATAAGTATGGTTGAATCAACAACAGACGCTCTGTTAAAATGGAGCAACAAAGACTCCTTCGTTGTTTCAAGACACCCGATATATCAGTTTTACAGACGCCCTTCTGTTGAATTGATACATGTACTCTGTTCATTTCATAGAACCTCCGTTGAGTCGATGTCATGCATAGCTTGCTTTAACGTAAGGTTATTGGTTCATTCATTTAAAACTTTTTTTGTATCAACCTAACGAACTAAATTCTCTATAAAATTTTTTTTTCTAATCTGAATAAAATGTTATATTTGAAATGGGAGAGAGGGAGAGGTAGAGGGGGAAGAGAGATCAGATCAGACTATTATAAACTCCACATACACACAGAATACAAATTTAAACATATAGAAGACTACAGATTATTTCGCACGCAATTCCTAACGCATACATATATAAACGTTCGCAACGATCAGGAGAGTTACTCGCCAACTCTCCATTTTTCTTGTATAGTAGGGGTCTTAAGGCTTCTTATATACTAATGGAAAGAATTTCTATGCACTCGCAGAAAAGATAGTAAATTAAGATTAGCCACCTAGTGTCGCTTTATGTTACCAACTTTTTTGCTCTAAAATTCTCGCTACGCTCGCTGCCTCGGCACTCATACTATCCCGCGCTGAAAACATTCTCTCCTCCGGTGTAATATGGCACCCGTTACGCTACTAACGCATAAATAACTAATATGAGTGTGTATGAGGTATATAAGTAAGAATAATCAAGAAAGAGAGACAGACAGATAGACGCCGACAGCGGTACAATTATTATTTTTTTGAAACTTCAGTTTATTAAATAAAATATTTAGTTGATTCAATAAAAATTAAGTTAAATCAATATCAATGCTATTGAAACAAAAACTTTTGCAGTTGTTTCAACTTTCGAGAAGCATTCGTTTTAACCACCTAAGGTCTTTAGCCATAACATCAAGTTTTCTGTTGATTCAACAAGGTTCTGATATTCTAACATATGTGACGTTAACACAACATAATTGATGTCGAAACAACAGACTCTGCTGTTGGCTTATTTTATCATAGTGAATTCTACCAATTCAACAGACGAGTCTGTAAAATCATCATTCGCGCAATTGAGCCGATAGAGGGCCAGTCAAGTCAACAGCGGATTAGTTGAATGAACAGCTGATATGTTGAACCAACCATTATTTTTTCTCAGTGTAGCCACAAAGATTCCTCTTGATTACGCTTGATTATTAGATTACTCTTGATTATTTAAACAATTTCAAATAAATGACGTTATTATTGAATCTCAATTAAATAACTCTTCTCAAATAATGTAATAGAAATAATCAATCTTGAAGATATCGGACGCAAATACTGCTCAATTATATCTTAATTTTATATCCTATTTGCATAGTTGTTAATAGATTTCGGGCATTAGATTCTTTTTTAGCTAAAACTGTAGAGTTATAGTTCAGTGTTAATCCTTTTGACATAAACAATAATTATCAAAGTATAATTCATCTTCTAATATCAACAGCTGTTAATCGATATAATTTTTCAAATCATTATATCAAGGCTGTTGATTTACACAATTTTCTCAGTTTGTGATCATGATGAATAAATTTTTTAAAGACTGTATCTGATTACGGTCTAGAAGAACTAGAATACTATAAAAACAGATTTCAACACTTGGCAGTATTATTTAAAAGAAATTTTCAGTCACCAATGTCATTTTGAAGAAATGTAATTGTTTTTATTTCGAACTCTCAGTGAGGAAGCTATAAAACTGTTATATTTAGGTAAATCTACAGGGCAACTGGAACGTTTCTTCTCTCAGTAGTCATAAGTTCATTCATTCAATAACAGACGTTTTGGAGCAGGGCAATCTGAAAAATTAGAGTTATATTATAATTTGAATATGATGACAGAAAACTTTTATTTTTTTTTATTGGAAAAGATTTGCAAAATATGAATAAAGGAGGAAAAGAGTTACCAGTGGTCATACAAGGAAAAGAACCTATAGGAAACAATGGTTTCTAAGAATAGTAAAGACCTTTTATTTTGGACTGGATATTTTGGAAACCGTCTCTATCGACATTTGTATTTCATTATACATACAAATCATCTCCATGCAATCTCAGTCATAAACAGCATCAACAAAAAGATTTATTGATGAATTTTCATGATTTTTCACCTTGTGCATGTTTAAATACATTTACTAATTGCTTTAAAGTATTCTAAACATC